ATCTTCACATCAGTCTCTGGCCTACACTAGTCTGAGTTCTACTTCTGCTGTTCTGAGAAGTTACTGGCCTTTGTCCTCAGGATGATGGTGCCTTTAAAGTCATCTGGATTTGAAAAAGAGGAAAGGGGGGCTGAACCAGCAGAACAAGTGAGATATCTTCCTCCTCAGGCTCCTTTTTTGTCCCTCCTGCCTAGATAGCTCTCTTTCTCTCTGTGTCTCTTGGGAGATCAGAGATCTCTCAGGTCCACCTCCTTCACTTAGACATTGAAGGGGACACCTAGGAGACAGTGAGGTTACAGCTCTGACTAAAGGGATGTGCAAGGCTCTGATAAAGATGGGCAACTACTCTCCTCTACCTGTAAGATCTGTGCTTCCCTAGCCTAATAGCTGTTCAATGAATGCTCACAAGGAGAGGAACTAGGAGTTTGGATTTCATTCAATGCCCACTAAATTGCTATGCAGCTCTTTCCATTTCAGCATCAGCTCTTCTCCCTCTCTGTCTCCTTCTCCCACACATACAACCAGTGCATCTTTGTCCTCCCTTCCTATGTTCTTTTACGCTCCTATTCCTGCTCTCTCCATCATCAAACCTCCAGGATTTCCCTAGACTGAGGGAAGGTTAACGGGCAGGGAGGATCATGGATACCATCACATAGCTTATACCACTTTAAAATCTCTCCCTACCCTTTACCAGAAGCAAGGACAACTAATTAGTCCAAGAGGAAATAAGGGTGCTGAACCATGCTCAGAGCAGGAAGGAGAGGTGTTTTATGGACAGAGAAGTACACTTCCTTTCTCCCCCCTCCAAATGAAACTGGGCCACTTTTTCTTGAAGATGTTGAAGCTCTGATATTCCTGGTATCCTTTTCCATGTTACCTGATCCAAAGAAAAAATAAACAGATACAAGCAGAAGGCAGTTCCCTATCAATCTGGATACTGAGGAAATTTTATGGCAACTTGGAACATCCAGATGCGGAGCCTATTTTTCACAAATTCTTAGATCGACTTGACCCATTACCAAAATGTGAGGGTTTTAGCCTTGTATTCATACAGCCTCCAGTCACCTTACTTAAGAAGTCTTCTTTATCTGCAGACTGCTCTATGCCCCATCAGGATGCCTATAGCAGAAATCTGGAGACAAACGTTTAAAAAAAATTGGTAACTGAGGGTAGCATGGCTTTCACTGCAGTAATCTATTGTGCCAAAGCTCTGGTTGTATCACTGTGGGTTTTGGGGGGCTAATTCTATACAATCCAACAGCTCTGAATTCTTTTAATGTTGTTCTCTTTGATTTAGTCACATTTTCTCCCTACGTCTTGACTGACAGTCACATAGGTTGGACTCTGGAATAATGCATTGCAGTAAAACTTGCAGATCAAGCAGCCACTCACTACCACTTCATTAAAAGACTAGATTTTTTTCTGATTCCATGGAACCACCTTAATACCTGAAGAATTAAAAGAATTCCTTTACGTTGTATGTAAGCCTTATATATCCTATTTTTCCTCTTACTATAAGGATCTTCGGCGGTTTGGAAATACTCCAGACAGAACCTTCTTCTGACCAAAGATCCAAATGACATACATCTCCAAATAATCCAAGTTTAGGTTGAAGCTGGCTGATGACACTAAGATGGCAATGGAAAGTTTGTGATCCCAGAGGTGTATTCTCCACCCCATTCCCCATCCATTATTAATGGAGCAATATTACCAATGAACAGCAATTGATCTCATTTTCTTCAGGGTCTTATGTTCAGCTCTCTCACACAAATAGCTTGGTTCATTCACTTTCCCATCCCTTCCCTTATTCAGTGGAAGAGACTTATTGTTCAGCATTTCAGAGAAAATTTCAGAGCAGCTTGCACATTCTCCAACCCATTAGTTTGGATGTTTAGTTTAAGATTGCTGATGTCTTATTCAGTCATATAGTGGTCACCATTAAAAGACAACTTTTACCCATGGTTAGAGCAGGTAAGCAACTGTGTGTAAAATGACCATTAAAAAAATATCTGTCCTTTATTCATGCTTAGGAGCATTTCCAATGTGCCACTTTATACTTCAGACTCATCTCAGTCAGATCCTAACTGTGGTAGTTGCAGCTGTTCATAGTCAGATTTCTGATCTGCCATACATGGATGATTGACTAGTCCTTGCATGATCTCTACAAGAAGCAATAGTTATAGTTTGAGACTTGGTTTAGCTGGTAGCCCATCTGAATTTCTGGTGAACTTTGAGAAAAATGAATTTCTCAGCTGTTAGTCCATCTCACAAGTGATCACAATACCGGCAGAGGTATTCCCTCTGCAGAAATGAATCTCACCAACAAGAGAGAAGCAAGCCTTTCAGATGTTGAACTCATGATATATTTCACAGTCTCTGCACAGGCTGCCCTTGCTGATACCAGTTTTCCAGTCTCCTGAGAGCACCCCTTTCAAGTGGCAGGACCATGCTTCCACTTCTCTTTGGGATGGGGCACCACACCCCAACCATTCCCTGATTATTTTCCCCAGATTGCACCCAACCATGATACCTAGCAGCCCCAAGAAGTTAGCATCTGCAAGTTTTCTTTAAGGAGAATGTGAACAGTGATATTATACAGTAACAGAGGCATGTTCTCCAAAACAAAATATGATTTATTTTGGCCAAAGGGCACATGTTTTTTGGAGAAGTGTATTTAAAATAACATAGTTCTATATGCATATTGTCTTACCCATGACTGGCATTCCCCTCAGATCCGTCGGTGCACCTGCCTGAGCCTTAGGTTCCCTCATTGTCCTGTTGTAACCTGCTTGATGCAGACCCTGGTTCTTAATCACTCTCTCTCTCTGGGTCAGCCTGAAGCATGCTCTTTCTGTTTCTCCTTGTGACATCTACCAGTTGAGCTGACCACCCTCCCTTTCTGCCAGGGGGATCTTTTTTATCTCTCTCTTAGTCCAACAGTCCTTCCTCATGGTTGTCACTGAGGAGTCCGTCTGCCCAGCTATGAATCTGGCTATTGTTTGAAGGAATGCTCCTTATCTAGACCATTGTTTCAGCTGTCCTGTGTGGTTTCTTTAACCACTAACCCCTTTTTGATCTAACTGTGCACTCAGGCATGGTAATATCACACAGCAACACATGATGCTTGTAAAAATAATACAAATATTTCCCAGTTCTCACAATGCAGATGCTTGAACAGGCACAGTGGCTATGATTCAGGATTCCAGTCCACATCTACACTCCCTCCATCACTAGTGGAATTCCAAGGTGGAGGTTAGGACCTTGGGACATCATTTTCTTTGTCAGATACTGGGAGGAATTGCCCACAAAACGAAAAACAAAACAAATTTTTTTGAAAGGAAATGACTTTGTAGGACCCTCACAAGAGGATCCGCATATTGGACAACAACCATTAAAGCTATGGGTGTAGCTTTTTTTAATTGAGTGATTGCTCGGGGTTTATGGTTCAGCCAATGGACAGCTTTTTGCAATGGTTACCTCTCTTCCACGCCTAAACTTCTTCAGTTCATGCCCAGTGGACTGTTAAGTGCCCAACACTACAGATGGTTTCTTTGAGAAAAGTTAATTCATTTGTCCCACCACCCTTCACAGCACTAGTGCTCTGCCTTCCTCTGACCCAAAACAATATGGATTCATCCTTCTACAATCTGAAGATAATTGTGGCCCCATCATTGTGACACGTCAGAATGTTAGGAGGTTATGCTTTGATTAGAAGGCAAGGCTTTCCCAGTCTCAAACCACAGGAGGGCTCTTCACTTTCTGCTTCTTGGTTGCTTCCTTACACATTGCTTCTAGAGCTCAGTTAAGACCTCTCCTATCTAGAAAGGCAGGAACTTTGGTTGATTAGGGGATATGTGCATGAAAAGTCTCTTCTTCATCTGCAACCCAGGACCACAATTTGATTGGTTTAATGATGCTGTCCCATTGGTATGCTATACATAGCTTCCAAAACTCCAGGCATATCTACGCTATAGTCATGTAATCTTCCCCCATCAATCGTTGCTATCATAATGGGACTTTCAGGAGAAGAGTCTCTCTTGGCAACATTTGCTTGTTTGCCTAACCTATTTTATGTATACCTATCATGATAGCATCTGGCTGTTAGGGAGCCTTATGCTTACCTATGCACTCAGTCAAAACAATCTCATAAAATATTTCATCTTTGACATAGTCTTTGACTTCATTTCTCTGTCATCAGTCTTCCTCACCGTTCGGTAAGAAGAAGGATATTATGTCTCCATTCCTCGAAATAGAACACTCAAATCAAACAAGCTCTGATTGTTGTTCTCTTTCAAAGGCTGATAGTAGGTCTTAAATAAAGCTCAGAAAGACTAAGCAGAAGATAAAAGAAACCAACCCCCTTTACTTTTCTTGCCACAGAAATCTCTCCAGATTTTGACACTAATTGGGATCAGACTTCAATTAGCCCTTCTTGAGGCTGTTCAGAACCAAACCAAAACCAGGCAGTTCAAAACCAAACCAGGCAACGAAGGCCACAAAAAAGGCAAAAAAAAAAAAAAAATCATACAAGTTTCCACTCTCCAAGATAGCAAAATTCACCATTTTGCAAGAAAATTCCAAATGACCAGTGAGTGCTATTTGTGGTCTTGTGCATATACTGGAGAGAACTCAATCAGCTTCATCTAGCATACCACTTCTCTCCTTTTCCCATCTCATCAAATTCAAGATAACATAAAGCTATTGGCAGGTGTAAAACACCTGGCAGACATTCAAGCAACAAAGCCTGTCTCAGTTGGAGATTTCTTGCTCTTTGTACCATAGTTTGCTATTGTTCCCAGTTTTGTTTACTATTATGATTATGTTTACAAATAAAATATGAAAACATCAAATGCATAAGTACTACATAAATATACAGTAAGTATAACATCTTTTGATTTCAATAATAATAAATGCAATGATTATTTTGTATTTTGAATACCATCAAATATTTTGTATTCAAACATATGTGAAAAAGTGGACCTGATTCTTTTCCTTTTTAGGGGCTAAACAATGTGATTGCAATAGACTTTGATTATAGAGAGGAGTTCATCTATTGGATTGATTCCAGCAGACCAAATGGCAGCAGAATAAACAGAATGTCTTTGAATGGAAGTGACATAAAGGTAATTGGGAGCTAATAATAATGTAATTACTAGAATTAGGGAAGTATTACTATAAATAAAATAAGATCAGATAGAAAAAATACTATGTCTGGTCTTTATTAAATCTCTAAAATGTGTGGTTAATGTTTCTTTTTCATAATAGAAGTCCAAAATCAATTTCTGTTTCTCAGCTAATATGGACCTGATTAAATCTGAGAACTGAGACCTCTGCAACGTAATGAAAATTTCTAGACTGGAAATGCAATAATTCATCCAGAACTAATCAAAATAATTGTGTCCCTGAGCCAAATTCTGAGACGTAAAAGGTCGTTCAGTGTAAGATTTATCCTGGGTATAACTTTATACTGGGGGAGGGATAGCTCAGTGGTTTGAGCATTGGCCTGCTAAACCCAGGATTATGAGTTTAATCCTTAAGGGGGCCATTTAGGGATCTGGGGCAAAAATCTGTCTGGGGATTGTTCCTCTTTTGAGCAGGGGGTTGGACTAGATGACCTCCTGAGGTCCCTTCTAACCCTGATATTCTATGATTCTATGATAAGTTGATCAGTAAACAGATGTAAGTCAAGAAACAGTGTACACTGATCTAGCTTTCTGGAGTGTAACTTCTTCCATAATTTGTGATTTATGGACTGTGCCTAGTCTGCGTAGATGCTGGAGTTAATTTAATGTAACTGCTGTAGAAAATCCAGAGCAAGACCATGTCTTCACTTCTGCACAGCAAAAGTTCTGCCTCTGTCAGTAGAGCAAGTTCAGTGATTCAGTTATTACTCACCTTTGTTCATTTAAACCATTTATTTTTCTTAATTTGGGGGCAGTAGTGAATAGTTATTTTATACTCACAGTCTCTCTGAGTCTGACCTGTCTTGGGAAACAATGAAGCTGTGATGGGGTTTGTCTCACCACTGTGGCACCTCCTGCTGGCTGTCGTGGGAATTAGCTTAGTTCGCCAGTGCGCTCTCATCTGGTGACATCTCGCCACCATCACATCTGCTCCAGAAAGCATGTTGTCCCAAAGAACACAGCGTACTCTTCAGGACACAGCCCTCCGGCTGTGTCACACTCTGTTCTCCCCCCTTCCGGGTTAACCATAGTCCCCTATCCAGCCACTTCCTCCATGGTGATTGAGGGAAAGAGGGGAACTGAGACCCACCCACTACTCTGGGTCCCAGCACAGGGACCCTGTAGATGGCAGCCATGTGCTGTGTCTCCTCCAAACCCTCAGTCTACTTCCCTGGGCTACTTCCCTGCAGCCCCAGCACCTTCTCTGCCCTTGTCTCAGGGTCTCAGCATGCCAGCAGTCAGCTGGGAGCTTGCTCTCACTCCCCTGATTCTGCCTAGCACTGCTCTGTCCAAGGTGATAGCTGCCTTCTGCCTGCAAGGCAGCCAGTTCTCCCTTTGCAGCCCTTCTTATAGGGGCCAGCCTGCCCCTGATTGGCTGCTCCTTGTAGCCCTCTCCAATTGGCTGCCTGTTGCACAGCCTCCCTAGGGTTCTATTAACCCTTTATGGGCTTGTGTGGGGCATATGCCCCATCACAGAAGCATTGAGGCATTTGGATTCTCAGGTTTCTCCGCTACAGTGTTCCCTTCCAGTCTCATCACCCTTGGCTGCAGAACGGAGCTACCTAGTGTCCATGTCTTTTTGCACTTACTTTAGCTAGCTTTCTTTGATTCTTGTATATATTAGTTGTTTTTAAATCTAGAGATAGTTAGTTAGCTGTAGGATTAGTTGCCTGCTGGTATATCTTTGGAAAATTTTAGTTTTTCACTCTAATAGATGTTTTTTCCAGGTACCAGAACTTTAGAGTGTGTAACCCCAATTCTCTGGGATTTAAGCATTGCCCCTTCTCCCTTTTCTGTTTGGGGCAGTCTCATGTTCCCAGCAAAAAAGAAACAAAAAAAAATACCCTACCAGAACAAGACACTCCTCTGCAAGTGCTTTTCCCCCAAGGTGAGGAATACAGAACAAACAACATGTGACAGATGTGTGATCATGTTGCTTAAAGTAGTTCTGGAAGGTGTTTAGATATTACAGTGGAAAGCACAGTGTAAAAAGCTACACCGAATACAATAGAATAGCAGAAGTACCATCTGCAAGTCCTCAAAAAAGACTTTAGAAGCCAGAGTAGTGCACTTGCAGATGTTTCTTCTTTACTGCTCCAGGAGTTAGGTGTGAGACCCAGTGTTTCTGATGAGAAGTGCTCTGGTCAGTTTGCTTTCAGCCCCAGGGTTCCATTATCCAAAACTACAACCTCTGTCTCTGGTAAGACGAACAAGGTCTCTGAGAAACAGAGCACTGCTCCTCAGGGAAAGTGAATAGTAGATTTCCTACAAAAAACTCCACTAAGAAAAGATCTAAGTCCTCACTGTGCTTCCATTCTAAGGAGATTCCATGGCCAAGTATGACTACTGTAGAAAGTCTGAGGGATCTCTGTACTGAGGCTGTGGTACTACATCCCAATACTAAATTGGTACAGACTGTTTCAGTGCTTGCTACACTGGTTACAGTAGCATCAATGTTGCAGCGGTTTTGCCACTTCTTTCAGTACTGAGTAAATCAGTGGCATCAACATTGGCACTCTCCCCACCTTTATTCTCCACTCTAGCCACGATGCTTGTGTTGCCACTCTGTTTGGTACCAGTTACATATGTGGAAACAGGAGATTTGTTTTGGAGGAGCCTGAAAACCTGTGTTATCCACAGCTCTGAACATAAGATCATCAGTACCAGGTGCTAAAATATCTTTAATACTGGGGGTCTTCCAAGGTTTGACTGCCCATAGACTTTCTGTGCAGCCTAGTACTCCAGCTTTGTCAGCCCTTCTCCCAACCCTTTGCATGTGGACTACTCTTTATTGTCTTCAGCTGAAGGTATGTCTACCCTGCACACTTCTTTCGGCGGCATGCAGAATACATACCCATGTAGCCCCCTTAGTGTGAGTATAAATAGCAGTGTAGCCAGTGAGGGATGACTTAGGTGAGTAAAGACACACCTGAAGGGTGTAGGTATGTACCTACATGCTCTCTACCTGCCTAAGCCATGCCTCCTGTCGACACAGTTGTCGTTAGCAGTGTTGTGTCCTGCTGCTTCTCCGCAGCTGGAGCCTTCCCCTGCTACAGGGAAAGACTCGGGCAATGGGGAGGCAACAAGGAAAGACTCTGCCAGCTCCCCACTGCTGGAGCTTCCCCTGTCAGAGTGAAAGACTCCTGCAGAGGGGAAAGGCTCTGCCAACTCCCATCTGTTGGGAGCCTTTCTCCTCTGCAGGGAGAGGCTCTGGCAGGGGGAGGTAGCTGGGAAAGGCTCAGCCTTTCCCTACTGCCTGCCCCTTGTCAGAGTCTTTCCTCACCTAAGCGAAAGGCTTCAGCAATGGGGAGCTGCTGAAGCTTTTCCCAACTGTCTCCCCTAGCCTGCTTTTCACTGCAGAATTTAGTTACAAATATCCTACATGCCGCCACCAGTGGTGTGTAGTGTAGACATAGCCTGAATCACAGAGAAGCAGATAAGGGTCTCCAATATATTCCCCTAAGACACCTTCATGTGTCTTTGTTGATGAGCAGGAGAGTCTAGGGATTCTTCCTTGTCCAGATATTACACATACCTCATATTCCTTGATACCTACCTGTGGCCTTTGGGCTGTTACCTTGTAATATCCAAGCATGTCTCTTTTGGAACTTATGCAGTACATACAGACCAGAAAGTCAACCTCTGTACCAACCTTGAGAGGAAAATCTTCAGCTACATCTCTGTTGTTGACTCCATAAAAGCATATCCATTCTGGGGAAGCTTCTGAAGAGGGTCCACCACGTTTGCAGTTTGAGGAACGTCAACAACCATTTCATTCTCATGCCCAAATGTGGCAGTGGTTTCCTCGACCCCATCTCATGTGGGTTATTTTAAATATTTTCAAGATTTGATCAAGAAATGTGGCAGAGTCTTTAGATATTCTCCTTGAAGAGGTTCAAAAATCCTCACTTAAACTTATCAATACGTTTCATTCAGCTATGCAAGGGACAGTAACTTTCCCAGTTCTCATGGACCTGCCAGGAATGGAACTGCCATGGACCTGCCAGGAATTTATGGAAGAAACAGACTGCGCCAGTCCCCACATCAAAGATATTGAACAAGAAATATCATGTCTCATCTGCAGGAGCCGAATTTATCTATACACACCTGATACTGGGCTGCTTAGTAGTTGTTGCAGCTATTGAGAAATTAAAACAGCAACACAAAATGATTCAAACGAATACAAAAAAAGTGTCTAGATTTATTTGACTGCAAAACTTATTCTTCAATGAGTTTCCATTTTAGGATTTCAAACTATTGGACCCTACTGGCCTGTTATAAGTTTATGAACTATGACAAGTTGTTTGTTTTTGTGGACAAACTACCTCCAAAGAAGAGAGAGGATTTGTCAACTTTAATTTCAAAGAGAGGACTAATCATGAAAACATCTAGCCAAGAGTCTCTTGAAGTGATTGACTCCACTTTTAGATTTATGGCCACATTGGTAGTCATGCGAAGGGCATTCTGGCTTTAAACGTCTGGGTTTCCACATGAAGTTCAGTCAGTGGCTGATGAACTACCTTTTGAGAGCCTGGACCTTTTTAGCTTGAAAAC